CAGACTGGAGGGCTGAAGTGACCCTTCAAGGCCGTCCCTACACTACCATGTCCAGGAGGCCAGCCCTATGCTCCCCAAGCCCACAGTGAGCCTTTCACAGTCCCTGAGGTGGGAGATTTGGGAGGGTCTTGAAGATGGGGTTGAGGATTCCCTGTTCTAGGAAGCCCAACTCTACTCAGTTAGTGCCACACCCATGAAAACATGCCTAGACCAGTAAGACCAGGAGAGGGACGCTGGTGGCCTCCTGGGAAACCCCTAATAGCCCGGCTCCTGAGCTTTCGGGTTTAGGGGTTATACCAAATTCCTAAGCAGGACCCCTGCTCCTTGCCCAGGGAGGGATGCCCCAAAGTCTATCAAGCTGTCAAGGGTGGCATGAGGAATGAGCACTGTTTCAGGTTGATAGGGTCCAGGAGGGAGACCTGGTTCCTACTTTGAACCTGTATTTGCCTTGTGACCCAAGACATCCCTTTGAAGACAGAGCATTGGTACAGATGTTGTCTGGGACCCAGATGTGCAAGACTTGTATAAGGCAGGATAGTGGGGTAAGAGAACATGGATGGGAACAGTGCCCTGAATAAACAAACGGTCCAGCCACAGGGTCCGAAGGAAGACAGGTTACGATAGAGCACAAGTCTCTTTTAAAGGTTTAAGTTGTCTTTTAGCAATTTTTATTTTTTTTTTTAGAATTTTACATATAAATACTGTATTTACATTATCCACCTCCTCCCTCCAACTCATCCCCTTGGGCCCCTGACGTCTACCCTGGGACCCTAAGTCAGGATGTGATACTGCTGTTCAGAAAAGAAGTCCAGATTGGTGTTTCCTTTTTCTAACTGGATTTCAGGCCTTCCGCTGTCCTCTCTCCCATGCTGAGTCTGGCATGTGTGTCCACATTTCATGTCTGAGTGCCTTGTGTCCTGAGCCCAAGGACAGGTGAAGAAACTGTGTCAGATTCCACAGGTGGTCAGGACATTGGCCTATGGTACTTATCACCACCCACCAAAACAGACACCCAGGTCCGGCGGTCTGATTACAGGCTGCTTGATGGGATTGGTTCTGGAGACATACACCCGGCAAAGACCAATGTCTGCCACACAGATCCCCCTGACCTGCAGAGGGCAGCTTGAGTTTGGACCCTCCCCCTCTGCAGAGACGCTCAGCCGTGTCAGCTGGCTAATAGGCACAGTTAGTTCTGCTGGAGGGGGGATAAGGGAGAAATTGGGGGAGGAGAGAAAGGACGGGTTTGATCAAAGCACATTACATTCATGTATAAAATCCTCAAATAATAAAAGTCACTCTTTCAGATTAGAAAAATCAATAAATCTTTAAAAGATTCTAAAGACAAAATGTTGTATGTTCTTTGCTTTTTATGTGTTGATAACTAAATATTGTTGATTGCAGACGGACATTTATACTGGCTGTGAGGGAGATGCACTCTTTGCTCTCAGTGGTCACTCCAGCCTGGATGCCACAGAGCAGTGCCCCTTAGAGCTGTTGACAGGAGCAAGCAGCCTGGAAGAGAAGTAAGGGACCCCACCTCAGGAGCAGGCGACATTATAGCTTGTGTGGCACAGAGCATGCTCCTTCAGCACACAAGTTCTGGACCCGCAGGCCAGAGCAGCTGTCTTCCCTGTTTCAGACTGTGGTGTGGAGTGATGGGCCTGGACCCACCGGGGACTCTGTGGAGAGCTAGGAGCCTGCTGGGACCCCTCAGCCACCCAGGTTCCAGTGGGGATCTGACACACCCACCCTTGGACACACTTCTGGCTCCCATCTGACACACCAACTCCAGGATGCTTCTTCCAGCTTGACGTGGAGGCTGGAGCTGCCAGGCCCAGGTGGCCTTTGTCTCCAGGGAAACCGAGGTCGTTACCTGGCCTGATGTTTGTCTTGTCAGGGCCCCAGCTCCCAATCAGTGTGAGGCCTGTGACAACGCCCTCCCGGGTTGCAACAACTCCTCTGGTTCCTAGCTCTGTCGGCACAGGTGAGCCTGCTTTGGCCGGAGCAAAGTGCAGACCTTCCTGACTCAAGGTGGGCTGCACCCACACCCCTCAGAGTGGCCCTTCATGTTCTGTACCTCCCATGAGCCATACTGGGCACACAGAGCTACGGAGTGCCTCACAGGTGGTAAATGCACCGTGTCACACTTACGCACGTGGCCTGAAGGAGGTGCCCTTGGCCTGAGGAAGGTCACCCAAAAGCGTGCAGAAGTTCCAGTGAAGGACAGTTCCCAGAATTCCAAGAGGGAGCAGAGCCAAGAAGGGGGCAAACATCCCAGGCAGAAAGACCACTGTGTTAGGAGCCCAGACGTATCTGCTAGATGGGCAGACGAGAATGTGAGGAAATGAAAGAGACAAAGCCACCCAAGACCCAGAGCTAGCAAAAGACAATGGTCCAGAAAATCTCTGGGATTAGGGCCTGATGGACCGGGGAGAGGCCCTGGAGGAAAGAAGATGCTCAGAGGCAAGGAGGCGACAGCAAGGTTGAGCTGAGCGGGAGGGCTGTCCGTGAGGAAGCAGGGGCTGCTCCAAAGACAGCAGGTCCTCAGCTATATCCCCGAGTCCAGGGTGATGGTCTCGGTGATGACACCTTGAGGACACTTGGAATGAAGGAAGGGGATGACCTGGGCCTTGGAAGCTTGGTCCTCTAAGGTGTGGGCAGGCTGACCACAGAATGAACCTGATCCTGACTAGTCAGCCCTGTACCCTGTGCTCTGTCCAGCTCAGAGCAGGTCCCTGGGTCACCACTGTTTCCCAGACACTGTGCTGGCTCCTGCTGTGTTTGGATTCATGTGACCTCAACTGTCAAAGCCCAGGGTTGCCCCATTAGAGGGGCCTCAGGTCCTGTGAGGCTACAGCCTGGCCCCTGAGCACCATGAAGAAATAACCACTGCTGTCAGCAAACCTAGTCTTCAGAGGACAGCACACACCCCGCCTCCTCTCATGCTGGGTTACAGGGGCGGGGCCTTACCAAAGCAGGGAGGGGGGATTATGAAGCCTCTGTACTTCCCAGGACCCTAAGTTTAGGCTGGCTCCTCCTCTTTAGGAACCCGAGTTTTCTTTTTTCTTTTTCTTTTGTTATTGTTGTGTTTTGTTGTTATTGAGACAGGATTTCTCTGTATAGCTTTGGAGCCTCTTCTGGATCTCACTCTGTAGACCAGGCTGGCCTCGAACTCACAGAGATCCACCTGCTTCTGCTTCCAAGTGCTGGGATTAAAGGCGTGCGCCACCACCGCCCGGCCCCGAGTTTTCATTCATTCTTCCTCAATGTTGACCTGGCAAGCAGAGAGAGCTCTGTAAGAGCTGGTTGGTTATGAGTGTGAACTTGACTCGAGAGATTTCTGACAGGGCGGGGTGGGGGGGGGATGTGGGAAATCGCTATTTCCAAAAGATCAGAACTCAGCATATTCACAGCAGGTGAGCTGGCAGCTATGTGAGTGTAAGAATGAGTTTGAATTGATGTATGTGTGTGTGTGTAAGAGCTGGTGTGAATATAGAAGTTAACATGCTCGTGTGTGAGAGAGATGTGTGGTTGTGCAAGTGCCTGAGTGTGAGAATCAGTGTACGTGAGTTGGCACATATGCAAGAGTGTGAGAATTTGTATGAGTGTGTGGAACATATATGAGTCAGTGTGTCAGTGTGAGAGGTGTGTGTGTGTGTGTGTGTGTGTGTGTGTGTGTGTGTGTGTGTGAATGTGAGTTCTGTGAGTGTGACTTGTATGAGTCTGTGTGTGATCATGAGTGTGAAAGTTAATGTCTAAATATGAGTATGACCTGTGTGAGGGTATAGTCGTGTGGCTAACTGCATGAAGGGGATATTGAGGGGCGCCAGTCTCCATTCAGTGTCTCAGTGAGTGCATGAAGTGAGGTGGAGGTCTCCGTGTCTCCATGCAGGCTCTCAGTGAGGGAGGATGTGGTGAAATCTCCCCACACACACACACATATACATTTGCTGAAATGCACCTGTCCGTCTGCCAAGCCAGGGTCAGCAAGCTACAGTCTCTGGGCCCCATACCCTGCTTTGGGAATGTGAATGAAATACACACACACACACACACACACACACACACACACACACACACACACACACACACATTCTTGACAAAGATATTCCTTTACTAGAAGGCAGAATATGAACAAAGCATTGTAGTTAGGACATGGTAAGATTCTGTAAATAGTGTTTTATTTTCTCTTCCTCTTTAACCTCTGAGAGTCTATGGACAGATTTGCCCACCAATATAAATATATGTCTGCAACAAACCATTTTTAGTTATCAACATATAAAAAACAAAACCATATAGTGTTTTGTCTTTGAAATCTTTTAAAAAGATTTATTGATTGATTTTTTCTGACCTAAAGAGTGACTCTTTTTTATTACTTGAGAATTTTCTACATGTGTGTAATGTGTTTTGACCAAATCCACCCCTTAACCAACTTCACATGCTCTTTTTTTTTTTTTTCAAGCCAGCCAAATTTCCAGCGTGAATGGGGCAGGAGCTCACAAATCCCATCCCATCTGAGGAGCTACTGGTGATTGATAATGGAGGGAGAGACAGTCCGTTTTCTTCATGCCCCTGAGAGGCTAACCCATGATGCAGAGGGTAATCCTACACCATTCACACACAGGCAGCACCAATGAATGAGGCTGTATTGGAATGCAGCCACATCCATCCTGGCTGCTATGGGACCCACTGCTTAGGCAGGTGGTTGCAATATTTTGGTCTTACAGGCCTCAGGCACTTGCTCTCTGACTCTTGAAGAAACTTTCAGACCCCTGGCTGGGCTGCGTGGGGACCCAGGGAGCGGGTGGGATACTTGTCATACTGCTGTTCTTCAACAGGACACCAGAGGTTCCCCACCCCCTGCAGAAAGTCCAACATCTCCACTGTCCTGTCCATCCTGACAGAAGGACAAACATCGATCAGGGTTAAATTGACAATAAAAGGGCAGGAGCAACAGGGACTCACCAACCAGGCCTCACCTCTGAGTCCAGCGCAGAGCTAGTTGGGAAATGTTCTGGATGTTGACCAAGACCAGTGTGACGCTGGGCACCAGAGCAGCAGGTTGGGTACGGACCATGGGCTCCCACCAGCTGCTGGTGCCACCACCAGAGGCCCTGAGCAAGCCCCTGTCAGTTCCTAAGCGGCTCCTGTTGGGACCAGGGCCGTCCAACCTGACTCCAAGAGTGCTGGCGGCCGGAGGGCTGAGGATGATTGGCCACATGCAAAAAGAGATGTTTCAGGTAGGCCTTGGTGGCAACAGCCTCTATTTAGGGGTGGTGATCGCTAGGTGGCGGGCAAAGGAAAGGGTCTCACCTGTGTGCCCACTGTCTAGATCATGGATGAGATCAAGCAAGGCATCCAGTACGTGTTCCAGACCAGGAACCCCCTCACGCTGGTTGTCAGCGGCTCTGGACACTGTGCCATGGAGACTGCCCTGTTCAACCTCCTAGAGCCTGGGGACTCCTTTCTAGTTGGAGCCAATGGCATCTGGGGGATGCGGGCTGCTGAGATTGCTGAGCGCATTGGTAAGGGAGAGAGTTGCCTATGACACCGTGTTATCCCCCCTGTCCCAATGTTATCCCTCCAAAGGCCTCCTGGGGAAATCCTGAAGCTATCTCTAACAGGTCAGACCTGTACAATCCTGCTGGGCACTCCTTCCTGTGGACCTAATGCCTCCACCTCCCATCCCCCAGCTGCTGCTTCCTCCAGGCAGGCACCAGGGTCTTCTCCCTGCCCCAGCAGACGACAGCAGCCTGGCCTTCCAGAGTTAGAGCATGATTGTTTCTGGAATGCATGGAAGAAGTTCTGCAGGAACACCCCCTGTCTGAGCCCCAGCAGCTCTCTGGGGGCCTCAGGAAGACTGGAATTTCAGAGGCTTACTCCCTCCCCAAATCTCAGAGCCTTGTTCATCTGTAAAATGTGGACCTAGGAACAGTTCTCCCTCCACAGTCTGAGGATGGAAGAGGGCAGGCATGCCCCCAGACTTCCTGGTAGACCCCAGCCTCTGCAAATGGCCTGCACGGTTCACAAGTGCATAGTCGCAGTGTTGATGGACAGCCAGAGAGCCCAGGAGGGTGTGCAGCTCTCAGTCACTTCCTGTTAGGCCACCATTTTCCTTTCCTTCCTTCCTTTCTTTCTATTTCTCTCTGTTTCTTTCTTTCTTTCTTTCTTCCTTCCTTCCTTCCTTCCTTCCTTCCTTCCTTCCTTCCTTCCTTCCTTCCTTTCTTTTTAATGTGCATTGGTGTTTTGCCTGCATGTGTGTCTGTGTGAAGGTATCAGATCCCCTGGAACTGGATTTACAGACAGTGGTGGGATGCCACATGGGTGCTGAGAATTGAACCCAGGTCCTCTGAAAGAGGAGCCAGTGCTCTTAACCACTGAGCCATCTTTCCAGCCCCTAGGCCACCTTTTTCAAAAGTAGCCAAAGTAGGATAGGGCTAGGGACCCAAGGGCACATCAGTCATTCAGGCTCCTCTTTGTCCTTCACTGAGACCAGGGTGGTTCAGGTTCTTTTCCTGCTAGGACACTGGTGTGAACAGGTGCATGTGACCATCAGGACATATGCTCGGTTCCTGGAGTCACCAGACCCACAGGATCAAGGTCTGCTTCATCCTCTTACCCTTCATTCCTTCCGTCTTTCATCAAATGGTGTGGGATCTCTGTGAACTACACTTGGGTTAGGTGGGATCTCATCCCACCTGCGATGCTCAAAGTGACCTCTATAGACACTATATGATGAGGCCACCAAGAGCCTCGGGTACTGTAGCCTGAGGAGGGACTTCTCAAAGCTCTGGACTCAAAGCCCTGGAGGCCAGGACAGTGCTGCATCTAAGCGAAAATCAGCCCTCACTGAGCATGCTCCTCTCCCTCTATAGTACGGCCACCTGGAGGCCAGCATGAATGGGGTCCCCCACGCCAGTTCTTGTTTATTCCCCATTCTGCCCCTGTCCTCAGGAGCCCATGTGCACCAGATGATCAAGGACCCTGGAGAACACTACACATTGCAGGAGGTGGAGGAGGTACTGAGAACTGAGTCATCCCAGGAGGGGGTGGGCTGGGATGCTGAGGCCTGTGGCTTGCTCAACATCTGTCTTAGTGTCTATGACTAGCCATAGAAGGGGATCCAGTTCTTAGGAACAGGTGGGAAGCCTACCTCTGTCTGAAAATGAAATGGAGTCTGGGATGTAGGCCCGTGGGCAGGGCCAGTGTGGCTGCAGGCTATGTGGGGGCAGGGAGGCACAACTCGTTACTGAACTCCAGGATGACAGCCCCTCCCTGTGGGGTCAGGCCAGTCCCAACCTACACACCAGGCAGGATGCTGGCCACCTTTTCATCTTGGCAAAGCCTTCCACCCAGGTCCCCCCATCAGCACTCACTGACAGAAAGGTGAGGCACATCACGGTCTTGCTTTCTAGTCGGCCTGCTCCATTTTGGAGGGAGCTGGGTATATGTGGATGATCCCAACTCTGCCCTCACATGCCAATGTCCCTCTGTAAGGGGCTGGCTGATCCAGGCAGAGGTCCCCAGCAGTTCTGCTCACGGCTGTCACCTCTGTCCCTCAGGGCCTGGCCCGGCACAAACCAGTACTGCTGTTCCTGACCCACGGGGAGTCATCTACTGGTGTGGTGCAACCCCTAGATGGCTTTGGGGAGCTCTGCCACAGGTGAGTCTGACCTAGGGTGGCAGTATCAGGGCAGAGCAAAGCATGCAGCCTGGCTGGATGATGCCGGCAGGGAGCTGCAGGGCTGACAGTGGCGAGGTATCCCAACTGTCCCCAGTTCACCTGCCACTGTCCCACGATGACGTGGGAGGGTTTGCTCCAGGCTGAATATGTGTGGTCAGCTTTTATTGGGTGAGGATGCAGTGGCTGGAGTAGGACCGAGTACCCTTTAGCCAGACGCCACTACAGTGGTACTGGCCTTGGAGGTCCCAGGGCTAGCAAGGGCTGGTGCTGCCCACCGTGTGCATCTCAAAGCCTGCTCTCACCTCACTCAAAGAGTCTCCAGGCACCAAAGCTGCCCCTTGCCTGCACTTCTTCCCCACCCCCACCCAGGGGTTTACAGGAGAGGTGCTCCAGGACGGGGTAGCCCCTCTGGAAGCCAACCCTGCTGTCTGTAGAGTTGACCACAGGGCAGAAGAGGACCTCTCCACAGCCATAGAGGGTTACCATGGCAGAGTTACCATGGTCCTCAGGGTCATGGAGCCCATATGGGCAGGGCCCCCACCAAAAGAGTCCCACACACTGAGTCCTGCCTAGGCATGATTAGACTATGGGGCTCAAGCTTGGCCCATGGCTGTGCCTACATGGTTCTATGGGGAAACCTGGGTAGAAGAGGATGAATATCGCTGTTACTCGAGCTGGACTCTGGCCTCTAAAGGCCATGTGTTTGTGGCAGTTGGCCAAGTGTGTAGCTATTGGTAGAGGGAGACCCAGACCTTTGTGCTGCCAGGTTTCTGGGGCCCACGCTGGCTCTTGGCACCCAGAACTCTGCTTGCTTAGGCTGACCCTCATCTCTCTCTGAGAGGTCCTGCGGCACAGCCATCTGGGTCATGACCCACCCACTCAGGCCCCGGTATAGATACCTGCCCAACCCAACCCTACAGCTCTTCTGGTTTCAAGGAGCTACCTCAGGGAAGGGACCCCATGTAGGAAGTGAGAGAGACCCATCTCTGCTTCCTTGCTGCCCTTCCAAAGACTTTCAAGCCCCACCCCCACCCCTGCCAGACACCCAGTCCAGGCTGAAATCTGAACTCCCAGGATTCCCTCCTGCTTCCCTGCGTTGCCTCAATGCCCATGACTCCTCAGGTACCAGTGCCTATTCCTGGTGGACTCTGTGGCATCACTGGGCGGGGTCCCCATCTACATGGACCAGCAAGGTAAGAGCATGCCCGACACCCCTTCCCGCATATTCCGGGTCACACACACTGGCAAACCGTGAGACTACAGAATGCTCAGTATGACAGTTCCTGTAGGCCTACCACTGGACCTGGGTAACTGGGTTTACGGCCCTGTCTCCAGAGGCCCTGGCAAAAGAGGTCATGTAGCTTGACATCTGCTAGTCAGACAGCATGGCAGGGTCTCTGGCGTGGGTCCTGGCTGCATCACCTCATCGAAGACAGCAACACGGTAAACAAGGGGAAGCAATCACAGGGTGGAATGAAAAGCCAGAGACCAGGAAGGGAAAGACCTGCACTTTCCTAACAACCCTTTCCTGAGAACTAGGCAGGGCCAATTCCCGAGGACAGCCAGTGACCCAATCACTTCCCGACAGGCCTGGCCTCTTAGAGGCCCCAACCCTCCCACACCACACTGAGGACCAACTTTCCAACACGTAAGCCCTTGGGGGGCACACCACACATACACCACAGCCCGAGTTTCTGCCAGGCCATCAGATAGGGTGTGGGTGTGTGTGGGGGCTTCAGGAAGCAGATGCTACCCTGCGAGTATTTGGGAGGCTTTCCAGCTGCAATAGGAAGAGACAGGAGGAGGAAAGGCTGGGCCCTGTGTATCAGATGCAGCAACTCCAGCACTGCAGGTATCGGGGCCATCCCTCAGACACCACGTTATACTGCCCCGGCCTGGCTGTTCACAGGGTTATGAGAGGCTCCAGCCTGAGGTCATAAGTATGATGAAACAATGCTGAGATCTGAAACTCGGGCTCTCCCATATGCCTCCTGGTGTCCACATCTCGGTGAAATCTTGATCCGCCAGTCACAGAACACGGTCTGGCATGGACAAACACACCTATTTGGTAAATTCCTTTGTGGGATCTCAGCCATCCCCTTCTCCATCCCCATCCTAGGCATTGACGTCTTGTACTCGGGCTCCCAGAAGGTCCTGAACGCCCCACCAGGGATCTCCCTCATCTCCTTCAGTGACAAGGCCAAGTGAGTAGTTCACACTTCACCTTGGGGTGTGGATGCAGATTGGGGTGCTGCTTGCCCTTAGAGGGAGGGAGGGAAAGTCTCCATGTTGAAACCTCTTCCTGCTCACCCTCCTGGGATGTCCTAAAAGCCAAGATGTGCTCCAAAGCTGGCTCACAGGGTAGTGGTAGTGCTGGGGGTGGAGGTGGGGAGGCAAACACATGCCAGGGCCCGGGCTGTGGGTAGGATCAGAGGCTGGCATTCTGGAGACTCCCAGTGTCATGCTAAGAGGTGATTAATCCAATGTGTCTGGATGCTCAGAGCCCAGCCCAGCTTCCAGGACCTGCCAGAGACAGGGCACAAACGACCCCTCACTCTGCAATTCCATCATCATCTAAGGCTCCTGGTGTCTAGATCCCGAGCCAGGCTGGTGGGGGGTTGGAGGGACAGACAGGGTCATGAGAGAGAGAGAGAGAGAGAGAGAGAGAGAGAGAGAGAGAGAGAGGTCAGCAGGTAATGACCATCAGCTGCAAAGAGCCCTTGGGTGCCAACCCAAATGAGGCGATTTTGGTATGGTCAGGGATTCTTCCTGGCTGTCATATCAGACACCAGCGGTGCCTTAGGGAAAGTGGGAGCTGAGAGCTGTGTAGGAGGGGAGGAAACTCATCAGGAGCGGAGTGAAGGGTTGGGGAGCCCCGCCTTGGAAAGCATGTGCAACCCAAGCCTGAGCCTCAGTTTCCCTGAGAAATGAGGCAGGACAAGCCTGTGGGCAGAAGTTGAAGAAATGAAGAGACTAAGCGTGGTGGGGCCGTGGGCTTAGGTACCCACGTGACAGTCACATCCATTCGGATCTCAGAGGGTTGGGCAGCCTGCACATGCTCACAAGCTCCCGTGAGCACAGCTCTACAGTAAGCTTTCTGCCCCTGAACTCCCATATTGACACAGGACAGTCCCAAGGCCAGGGGCGGGTACTCAGGCCGGTTTCTCTTGCCCAGACACAAGGTCTACACTCGGCGGACAAAGCCCGTCTCCTTCTACACAGACATCACGTACTTGGCCAAGCTGTGGGGCTGTGAGGGCAAGACCAGAGTGTGAGTGTCGGGCAGGGATGAGGGTGGGAGGGTGGCTGTCCCCTGCATCCAACCTCTTATCAGCCGTGCATGCCAAGTTCTGCATCCCATGCCTCTGTGCCTTTGAGCCTCCGTGCTCTAATTGGAGACTCCTGTGCTAACCATTACATTTAGGCCTCACTTGTCACCCAGAGACTCAGGTCCAATAAACAGCCCCCACGACCATTTCCATAATCCTTGTCCTCCATCAGCTTTCTGCACCTGGCTCTGCTATAGCCTTCCATTCCAGGCCTCAGTTTACCCCTCTTGGAAGGTTAGCCAGAGATTCCGTAGTCCACCGTGGTCATAATCCTGAGTGGTCTTGTGTTAAACACAAGCCAGGGAACCAGAATGGTGCTGGAGACTAGTGGGTGCAAGGGGTCCAGGGCGGGCTTCACAGGAGGATGGAGTCTTGGTAGGAAGGCGATCAACTCTGTATTTCTTCCCTTTCCCTTCCCCTCCATGTTGCCAGGCCCTGGGGGGCTTTCCCTCCTCGGCATCCTTGACTCTGTGACTCTGAAGCAGAAAAGTGTCCCTGGGAAATGGTTGGCTCCTGCCCTAGATCCTGAGCTGCTGGGGTGGGACAATCAGCTCCTGTCCCTGTCCTTACCATGACACTGGACCAGGCTCTTCTTTTGTTCCCCAGAATTCACCATACCACGCCGGTCACCAGCTTATACTGCCTGAGGGAGAGCCTGGCGCTCATTTCAGAGCAGGTAATAGGAGGGACTTCGGCCAGGGAGATGGGGAGGAGGAGGAGGAGGAGGAGGAGGAGGAGGAGGAGGAGGAGAAAGGGAAGAGAAGGAAGCCCCTCAGACCTGAGTCACCTCAGACTGGGTACCAGTGGGATTCTTCCTTTCTCATGACTCCCTCAGATTGCTCTGGAGAAAGGGAACGAGAGGGTTCCTGAGACAGCAGTGACGCTGTTTGCCGACAGGCCCATGCTTCCGGGTAGGATCAGCTGTGGTGTAACTGGGGAGATGGAGCTCTTCCCATGGAGGACCAAGGAAGGAACGGCTTCTTTAACAAGGAGGGTGGAGCACTAACTGTGGGCAGACTCGAGGACAGAGCCCAGGACAGACAGACAGAGGCACTCTCATCTGACCCTTCAGCTACTGAGCACAGGGGAGGCTGTAAGAGGGAGGCTCCCCAACACAGAGTGGGGGCCTCTGAGAGAGGTAGGCATGGTGAGAGGGGTCTCAGGGATGGGGTTTATGCAGCCCCTGGTTGGTAAAGCAATGGCTATCTTAGTTTGTGTCATTCTAACAGAATGACACAGGCAGAGTACTTTATAGTTAAATTTATTTGGATGATAGTTTTTGGAAGCTGAAAAATCTAAGTTCAAGGCCAGGGCCTACACTTACTCCATCATAAAATATCTGAAGTATCAACATTGGCCAGAGAGCCAGATGGAACAAGAAAGGTTACTCTGACTTTATTTTTTTTTAAAGCTGAAGTCTCATGTAGCTCAGGCTAGCCTCAAATTTGCTATGTATCTGAGTTCCAGGCTAGCCTTGAATTCCCATTCTACCCCCCAAGTTCTGGGATTGCATGCATGTGCCCCCATGCCCGGCTACTTTGGGTTTCAAACTTCACCATCAGACAGAAGCCAACACCACTATGCACCACTATGGTTCCTGTACTGCTAGCCAAGATAGTTTCCGCACGAGCCTTGGGGACACACCTGGCCACTGCAGCACTTACCAGAGTCGAGAAGGGGTTGGCACTCTGCAGGCATGTGCAGGTTCCAGGCCAGCTGGGTGTGACTAGGTCAGTGCCTGTGTCTGGTGCAGAGTCCACTCTCAGGAAATGGAGGTGAAGTGTGGCTACAGGCCCAGTTGGTTGTGTAGGTCACAGGACAGAAAAAAGAACCAAAGCCTGGCCACTTTCCTCTGGGTCCTTGTAGACCACTGCCAGCCACAGAGGCCAGAAAGAGCCCCTGAGCTGTGGTTATTATGTATGTATTGTTAGGACTACTCATAAAATTGCTCCATGAGGAATGGGTTAGAAATGTGGTGACCCATGATCTAGACGGTCACCTATACCCTAACTAGGGCTCTGAACTGGGGGTACATCCCTGTGGAGCAGCGGCTAGGGCTGAGCTGGATAAGGAAAAGAAAGGAGTCATGGGGAGCCAAGTATGGCGGCACCTACCTGTGATCTCAGAACCCCAGGTGTTGATGTAGGATCAAGAGTTTGTAGCTAGAAGTAGGAAGAGTATTGGGAAAGAGATAAGCTCAGTGGACTCTGGCAGCATTTGCCTGTGGATCAGTGCGCTAAGAAGATGAACAGTTGCTGGTTGGCAAGATATGACCTGGAAGTAATTATGGGGCTAGAGTGGAGAGAACTAGTTACTAGAGGTCATGTATCACATTTCCTTGAGGTCCAGGGTCAGAATGAATAGGACCTGACTGATCATGCCACACCCGTGTGGCCAGCAACCCCAGCCTCCCGGAGTGGCAATCTACACTTTGAAATGTGTCCTGCCTGTCTCCCCAGGGCCCACTGGGTACCCATTGGAGGCTGGTACCCACCTCTCTCCCTCCCAGACCTAGAAAATACCCTCTTTCCTCAAGTTGGCTCAGCATAGACCCTCTTGTCTCCTCAGGGCCTGGGGTTCCAGTCCACCTAGGCCACAGAGCCTTGTGGGCCCTGCCATCTCAAGGAGGGGCTCCCACCCTGTCAGCTGGTCATGGTTACCTTTTCCCCCACAGGGCCTGGAGAATTCCTGGCAGCGGCACAGGGAGGCTACAGCATATCTGCACAAACGCCTGCAAGAGCTGGGCCTGCAGCTCTTTGTGAAGGACCCGGTGAGGAGCCCAAAGGAAGGGGGTGTCAGCTGACTGACCCAGGCACTAGTCCAATGGGGAGGGTGAGGCTATATTCAATTGGTGAAAACAAATGCCATGTTTCGGTGGGACTTGAGCCTCCTGAGGCTGGGGGCATCTTGGCAATCTCCAGATGGTTCCTGTTCCCTGCCAAGGGAGCCCTGTGTCAGCCACCAGTTTCTGGCCCTTTCTCTGGACTCTAAGAGCCAGCACAGGTCAAAAGACCTGAGCATCATCCTAGAGGGTACGAATGGCCCTGGAGGGTAGGAAGGGTGCCAGCTTATATGGCTGAGGCTGGCACTCCTTGCAGGCAATCCGGCTACCCACCATCACCACCGTGACTGTGCCTGCTGGTTACAACTGGAGGGACATCGTCAGCTACGTGCTGGACCACTTCCACATTGAAATCTCTGGTGGCCTTGGGCCCTCTGAGGAGAAGGTGAGGGGGCTCCTGGAGTGCCAGGGCTTTATGGTCAGAGGTACGAGACACCTGGTGCTGAGTCCTGCTGCACACACACCCCCTGTGTTGGGTCACTGCAAGGCCCAGAGCAGCACCATCACCTCAGGTAGAATGTCCTCAGCCCACTCCACCATACCAGGAAGGTCACACATCACCAGCTTTACCAGGTCCACTCTGAGTGCTGAGTGACCCTCCCTTGGTATATCCTTGGACTCTCTCTATGTTTCGGGTATAGAAGGGAAGGCTGGCTCTGGCCCCTGTGTGGCATGCATGAGGCCACCTCCCTCCTGCATACCGGATGGATGGTGATCTCATGTGGTAAATGTACCCTACCCTGACCAGCTGCTATAAGGAAGAGGGATGCAAACAGAGGCTGAGATCTACCTGTTCCGTGCCTACCAGGTGCTGCGGATTGGCCTGCTGGGCTACAATGCCACCATGGAGAACGTGGACCGCCTGGCCCAGGCCCTGAGGGAGGCCCTGCAACGTTGTCCTAAGAACAAGCTGTGAGCATCCTCTCACCAGACTATGCCCTCCTGAGGGGCTTGGGAGTGTAGCAGGAACCAAAAGAAAGCTCAAGGCCACCAGGCCTGGGGACGGCAAAGCTGCTGACACAGCCTGGTGAGGGGGGAAGGAACAGGGAAAAGCTGCCCCTCTCCCCACAGATGGGACCCTGTGGACACAGGGCGGTAATCACCTTCCGACAACACTGCAGTCTACAGGCCACTGGCCTTTGGGAATAGTCAATAAAGCGCTGGTCAATCCTCTCCTCTGGCTGTGTCCGACTGGGTGTGGAAGAGGGAATGGGACCCCTCAGCTGCCTGTTCAGCCCCAGTGTGGCCCTCTGAGGAAAGCCACTTGTTCTAGAGCCTGCTTTCCCAGGGTGAGGATACTGTCTTCAGTTTCCAGATGTCACTCACCCCCGCAAACACACTCTCCTAATGCTGTCTTCAAGTGAATCTACAAGAAACCCCTCTCATAAAGACAAGACACCCACAGACACATGACCAGAACCTGAGTTCATGGCAATGAGGGCCCACATCCTTGGCCCTCCACTCTGATATTTCACATTCACCTAAGAGGCCCCCTGAGCCCCAGTTCCTTGCTCGGCTTGTCTCCCAAACCTCACTTCTGGCCCAGTTGTCCAGCAGGCTCAGAGCTGGAGCACACTGGACAGCTATACTCAGAGCCTCCAAAAGGAAAGCTGGAGAGCCCCCCTCTTACCAAGGCTGGAGAGCAGCCCCCCTCTTACCAGGTTACCAGTAGGAATCCTGAGAGAGAATGGTTGACTTGGCTATGTCCACATCCCTGGTACAACTGGTCACAGTTGTGTTTTGGAGTAAGTTCTCCAGCCAAAAGAGGCTGCTGCCCTGTGGCTCCTAGTGACCAGAAGGGACAGTCTTAAGAGCTGTGATCAGTGCCACACAGGGACCTGGAGCAGAGCAAGGAGAGGGTCCTTGGAGAGGGTTCTGGAAGTCCAGGGCCCAGGGCCATGTGATCACCTGGAGCCTGGCCTTTGTCCAGAGAGGAACCCTATCTTGATTTGCTCTCCCAAGAGGTAGACACTGAGGTATACACGTGGTTCGGCTGAGAATGGACCCAGGAATCACCCAGTGGAAGATCTCCTGGCTCTGGTCCAGCTGTGTCACTATGGATCACACACGTTCTCTGATGAAAACCTGCCCAGCATCTTGGACCTTCCTGCACGTGTGTGCCTGACTGTCCTTCCGTGCACGACCGCACTGTAGAAATTCTGTTCCTTTACCTGCTGGTGATGGACAGACACCTGATCATTTCTAGTTTGGGGCTTTGATAAATACAGCTATAACAGCCTCCTGATTCAAGGCTTCGTGTGACTGTATGCTTTCACTTCTTTTGATTAAATGACAAGGATTTCAGTCACAGGCTGCCTTGTCGAGGAGATACTGTGCCTAGGAGCTGTGGGCATTCCACATCCTTGCCCAGGTGACTGGCGTCCTTTTGCTCTAGCAGCTGTCAAACTAACTGCGTTAGAATGTACCCTCTCCTGGTGACTGACAATGTCCGTATGTTTTCATGTGACACTGGCCGCTTGCAAACCTTTAGAGACATGTCAGTTCAAATATGGATTTTTTCCTTTGGGGTTTGTAGTTTGTAATAGTCCTTGAGTTCATGTGTGTGTGTGTGTGTGTGTGTGTGTGTGTGTGTGTGTGTGTGTGTGTGTGTGTGTGTGTGTGTGTTATATGCATGTGTGTGATGGGGTGCACTTGCCTGTGCAGGAGCATATAAAGGCCAGAGGTAAACTTGGAATGTCTCCCACCAGTGTTTTTCCACCTTAATTTTGGGGACACCTTTAATCACCCTGGACCTAGAACTCACATTTTGCCCGGGTTGGCTGTCCAGCGAACCCGTTTCTGCCCCTTTCCATCACCTAGTGTTAGGGTTACTGGTGTACACAGCTGTACCCAGCTTTTATGAGGATGCTGGGGCTCCAAACTTAGGTCCCCGTGCTTGCTTGGTGAGCACTCTACCCACTCAGCCACCTCGCCAGCACCATCATAGATTTTCTTTTTAGAAAATGAGTTCTCAACCCAACCAGATGTTTGTGTCCCAAGGGTTTCCTTGTTCTGTGGCTCACCTATTCATTTTCCTGCTGATAGCTCCAAAGAGCAGGAGTGTTTAATTTTGGCAAAGTCGTGTGGGTTTTCTCTATGTGGTCTGGGCTATTTGCACCTTGCCCCAGAAGTCTTTCCTACTTCGGGGCTGTTGTGGATATTCGTGTATTTTCTTTTGGAGTTATAATGTAGGTTTATCATTTGTTTTGTGGTGTGGACATGGGGCAAAGTGCATTCTATCCATAGCAGTACCCAGTTGTCCCAACGGTACGCTTGTTAAACAAAACTTGCTTTCTCTGTTCAGTTGACCTGCCAAGTTGGCAAGGATCACAAACTTACGTATCTGTGGCTTGGTTTCTGGCATTAATTTAGATGACTTTAAATTTCACTAAGCAATGTTTCAAATTTTCACTGCAGAGGTCTTGCATGTCTTTCATTAGATTTATCCTAAGGGGTTGCTGTTTTGCTGATATTATAAATGCTATTTGTTTTTTTTCACTTCCAATTGTTTCTTCTTAATATGGTTTTTTTTTTTTGGTTTTTTTTTTTCGGTTTTTTTTTTTTTTGGTTTTTCGAGACAGGGTTTCTCTGTGTAGCTTTGCGCCTTTCCTGGAACTCACTTGGTAGCCCAGGCTGGCCTCGAACTCACAGAGATCCGCCGGCCTCTGCCTCCCGAGTGCTGGGATTAAAGGCGTGCGCCACCACTGCCCGGCCCTTAATATGGTTTTTTAATATTAGTCTTGCATTTATGGACCTTGCTAGGCTCACACTTCTAATGACGTCTTTGTAGATTTCTTTGGGTTTTCTAAGTAGATAATCAAGTTGCCTATGAATGATGACAGTTATACATCTTTCCAAATATGTATACTTTTCATTGGCTCTCTTTCTCACCTTGCTGAGGACCATAAACCCAATGTAAAAAAAAAAATGGTTAGAACTTCAGTCTTAGAGAAAGTGTTTAATATTTGAATCTTAAAATATTTACCTGTTTGGTGTGCGTGCGCACACGGGCGCTCGTGTGTGTTCAGGTTGTGAATGGCGTCCGTGGCGGGTTTCCTGTAGTTACTGTCTACCTCCGTGTGCCAAGTGTGCTGTCAACACGGCGCTCACAGCACCTCCATCCTTTGCTGCTCTGCAGTCCTTCTTAGGCACTAAGGTTATGATTTAAACATCATTTTCTCCTCCTTTATTTTCTGATAAAGCTTTTCTGCAACTAGACATACTTTCTTTCCCTTATGTGTTTGGTAGAATTCAACAACCCAGGACTTAGGGATGGAAACTTTCTTTATGAAAAAATTAAAAAAAAAAATCTGCACGTATGAGTCCTTCTATCCGTTCGTCTGTCTGTCCATCCCTCCCTCCCTCCCTTCTTTCCTTCTTTTTCCTTCCATTTGAGACAGGGTCTCCTTATGGAGCTCAAGTTGACCTCAGATTCACAGTCTTCTTGCCTGGGCTTACTGAGAGCTGACTAGATGTGGGGCTCTTTAGAAGTTATCTTCTTCTTGCCTGGGCTTCCTGAGAGCTGACTAGATGTGGGGCTCTTTAGAAGTTATCTTCTTCTTGCACCAGTTTTGATAACTGTGCTTGCTATTCATGGCGTGCTTGCTTTTCAGCTCGGCTATTCAATGTCCTAGTTGAGGAAAGAAAACTCACAGTGTCCCTTTACAGACTCATTGTGTCTGTGGAACTTGTAGTGACTTTTCTTTCATCATCCTCTAGATTGGTGACTTATATTTTCTCCCTTTTTTCTCTTCATTAACCTTGCTAGAAAATATTGCTTTTGTCAGTCTCCTAAAACACCAGTGTTCAGCTGTGTTACTTTTCTCTGTGGTCTGTCCTCTACTAATTTCTACTCTGTTATCCTCCTCATTTGACTGCTTTCGGTTCTAGCTTACTCATTTTAATTCTTTTACATTCTCATTTGTTCTGTCTCTGTCTGTCTCTGTCTCTGTCTCTGTCTCTGTCTCTCTCTCTCTCTGTGTGTGTGTGTGTGTGTGTGTGTGTGTGTGTGTGTGTGTGTGTGTGTGTGTGTGTGTACATATGCCACAATGTGTAAAGGCCAGAAGACAACTGGCAGGAATTGGTCTTCCTCTTCTACCATGCGGATCCTGGGACTTGAACTCGGGTCATTGTGTTTGGCAGCAGACATTCTTACCTGCTGAGCCATCCCACTGGCCCTCCTTTGAAATTTTTGACAAATTCTTGATTGACAAGCAATTTTTGTCCATATCTTTGTGGGCTGCTCTTGGTTCCCTGCTTCCTACATTGGAAGCCTAAGAAGTTGATTTTGAAACCCAGCTTCTCTCTAAGCTTCTCCAGGTGTTTCAAACTGAAGTTTTCTCTCTGAGCACGGTGTCGGCTTCATCTCCAAGCTTTGATGGACCTGTTTCATTACCACCCAAGTCAAAATATTTTATGACTTTTTGACCTGGGACTTATTCTTGGAACCATAGATTATTTTTATGTGTGTTATATAATTTCCATATATTTGGAAATATCCTCTTGGTTTTTATTTTTTAATCTGTGTCTGTTGAGATCCGAAAGCATATTGCATATGGATTTTAGCTCTGTGTAAATGCACTAAAACCTGATCTTGTTGAGGGGAGTGGACTTCTCCAGACAGCATTCAGGCTGGTTGGTGACAGTAGGCACTTGTTGATTTTTTTTTTCCATCAGGTACTGAGAGTGGGGTGTTCAAATCTCCAAGTGTCCTTGTGTCCTCGTGGGTCCTCGTGGATTATGGAGACTGTTTAACCTCAGAACTTCTGGGCTCGGAACTCAATGTGTACGTCATTTGCAGCCGCCTCCACCTCTGCCTTTCCCGTCTTACATCTGTGTGTTTCCCATGGGCCTCTTGTCTCTGCAATTAAGGAATAATTCTGCTTCTTGAAGCTCTGTTTCGGGGAGGACCATTCCTCCCTGCTGCCTTCCAGGACTCTTAAGTCTCCAGAGAAGTCACCAAGGTCAGTGTGAGGTGAGGGGGAAGCCCGGTTACCAGGTGTGATAACAGGAAGGTCCAAGCCACTGTTCTTGTAACTTATCTGTCCCTCGCCCTGTTTGGCTGGCCCAGATAGACTGCATCCATTGCCCCCAGATCCATGCTGCGCTACCGTCTTCTCCCACCACTGCCAACACACACGGGGGCCTGTGGCAGTGGCAACAGAGTCACATGGTATCTTGGGGCTCCTTCTGTTGTTCATGACACTCTCTTGCTTTAGGGCCTCAGCTCCTATGGTGGGGCTTGCAGGGATCCCCATAATGTCATTGACACTATGGTCATTACAACACAGATTTGTTGTGGAAGCCGCTTGTGTGCTGATCCCACTCAGAAGTGATAATTATCCCAGTCACTTAGTTGATGGACATTCCTAGCTGAGTCATACATAGTCTTCAAGATCCAGAGAGGTCCCCAAGCACCAAGGCAGATGGGACAAAGTCCCAGCCTATGCTGAGCCTCTGAGCCCAAGGGCTTTGCCTGTGTGGTAGACCCTGAAGTGATACAAAGATTCTCCCTGTTTGAATTATGAATTGTTATTTGAATTATGGAATGAGTGCATTTTATAAACCTGCAGGCATGTCCAGTCTGGCCCGCAGACCACATGTGTCCCCGAATAGCTAGGAATGCAACCCAGTTCATTTGTAGACCTCAATGTCGTGTTGTAATGTCAAAAGTTGGACAGGACACATGTGGAAGGCACTGAAGAACTTGCCAGCGAGCCTCCCTGGCCCAGATCTGCATGACATCATCAGCACAGAACCATTTTGTAGCATGTCTCCCAAGGTCTGTCTCATGCCCAGAGCAGGAGGGTTAGCTTTGGTCAGATCTAGAACTTACACTGCCCCCTTCCAAGTAGACACACCCCTTCTAGTCCCCCCTTCTCATGGGACCAGAGAGGATGTGCCTCCTGTATTGGGGCCTACAGAGCAAGCTCCAGAAGCCCAGTCATCCCGTGCTACCATAGATCACATGTCTAACACAGCATCTTGGTGACAAATCACAATTTGGCAAAGTTTCTGAACCCCAACACTCACCACAGTCCACCTGGTTCTTACTGGGGGTGTTGTGGCACACTTTAAGGAGTGCTACATTCTGCTCCTGCACCCTCATGTGGTATGTTTGGGTAGACTATTTAAAGGGCAGTGGACTAGGGATGACTTCAATACTCCCTTGAGGATTGATGAAATGGCTGAGTGGGTAAAGGTCCTGAGTTCAATCCCTGGAGTGACCATAAGGAAAGAACCAACTCCTATAAGTTATTCTCTGCACTCCACACATGAGCAGTGGCGTGCGCGCACACACACACACACACACACACACACACACACACACACACACACACACACTGGTAGAAGCAAAATAAATATATACAATATAATTCTAAAACATTTTAGCTGGGTGTGGTGGTGCACACCTTAAATCCCTGCCCTCGGGATACAGAGACAGACCTCTCTAAGAGTCTGAGGATAGCATGGTCTATATAGAGAGTTCCAGGCAAGCCAGGACTACATAGTAAGACCCTGTCTAAAAAAACATTTTCGTGTCCTCTTGGTCTTTCCTGTGCTCACAGCTCTCATTTCTGTTAAGAGCAGCCATTGTGATTTATAGCCATCACTGAGGAGGTGGCCAGGGTGGGCCTGGGTCTAGCTCAGTCCCACTCTTGAGACAACATGGCATTTCCCTTGTGTTGATGATAACTCAGGCTCTGGTCCCACAACCTTCAGAGGCCCTGGCCACTTGCTCAGTGTGTAGTTACTCTGACACCTGCTGTCAGTCCTTGGAGGACACAGGGACACCGGATGACCTGCACACACATGGGACCCTGGGTTCCCCCCTCAGGGCCTGGAGTGCAGCCTGCAGTTCTGAAGCCAAGGAGTAAATGTCACCAAGTTCCAAAGACAATGGAGGAGAGATGTCTCTGAGCTGGGGTACTCAGAGGTCCCTGGGCTCCAGGGAAGCTGCTTCAAGCTAATGAGAAGACATGAATCACAGGATTCTGGGAACAGGGGACACGCCTCCAGTGACAGAGAAGTGGGACAGACCGGTATGGGGGAAGGGGAGCTGTGGAATTCCCTCTTCTGGTTTCAGTTTCTTCTGAACTGGAGGGTCAGGACATCTGTCCTGGGGGACATTCTCTACCTGAGAGTGGAGAAGACTAAAAAGAAATCATCCTTTGCACATACGCCTTTCATGGTCTTAGGAGTCTATACTTGCACCGAGAGACACAGAACCTGGGGGAACCCTCTCCACAGGGTACACTGGGGCATTAGTGTGCTCAACACTGCACACACAGGATTTCAACCCCCAGGAGTAGTGTGGAGCATAGGCATAGCAAACGCCCATGCTGTCTCACGCCTATACCTGTTCTGACTGTCAAATGGATGGATCAGTGGGTCTCTGGGAAGCATATAACCGTCCACCTCAATCCCAGTGTGGAACATGGCAGCTGGCTCAAGACCACAGTGCTAGGTCCTTGGATTCTCACAGGCGTCCCTTGAACAGGAGTCCTTGGGGACTAAGTCCCTCCACCAGTCACTCAAAGAGATACCCCTGATCCCCATTCCTTTCCCAGAAGTTCCCGGGAGCTCTGCAGGTTGGTCGAGACTGGGCCTTCCACCCCAGCTCAGCCGCTGTCACTTCCCATGGTCTTGGTCTTCTGGAAGATGTTCTGCATGGCTGAGATTCTGTCCTTATCTTGGATGTTAAAGACCTGGAACTGGAGTGGGCAGGGACGGAGGTCACAGGCAGCCAGGCCACACCTGTCTCACACATCCTCTCTGACCACAGACCCTGTCTGTGAGTATCCACCTGTCTGTCATCCCGGCAGGTGGTCCACCCCAGCATTCCTCCTCCAGCAGCCCTGCCTCACACAACCTATCCCTGACACAGGAATGACCCCCAAGGAGGCCCCACTAATGCTGGTTGAAGGCTCTTTCCCTACACGTTTCTAACCAAGAAATGCCAGCCATGCCTTGGAGGCAGTATTTGGGCCTTTGCAGGGGAGTAATGAGTTCTATACGCATAGAAGGAGCAGCTGGTAGGCGCCTCTAAACAGCAGGCCAGCGAACACAACAAGGTCCCACAGGGTATGACCATCAGAATGCCAAGTCCAGGAAGACACAGGAAATGGGCCCCAGGAGATTCAGGGAAGGCCAAAGCCCCAAGGCAGAGAAGGGTTCTTGGCATTCGCTCTGTGTGGTTTAGGATAATTCTGCGGGACACAGGGGCAATCTCAGGCACTGGGGCAATCTCAGGCACTCTGCCCTGGCTTCCAGAGAGCACTCTGACACTCGTGGGGCCTCTCTTGAGGTGGCATTCTGTGTCCCATCTGACCCTCAGCCATCCAGAGGTCTGGCTTTACCCCAGCCATCCTTGAGTTCCTGACCTGGGAGGGAGTGGTCAGGGTTCAGGACCAGAGCTCCAGCCACACCCCCCTGAAACAGCTGCACCCACCTTATCTAGCAGAAAATCAAAGTAGGCAGTGGTCCAGTAAGTAGGGTCACTGGCAGGTAGCTGCAGGAGTGCCTTGACTCCGTTGTCAATGCGCGGCGGACGGCTGTGGCCCAGGTGGGTGACGTGGATCCGTAGGGACTCTTCAGGCTGGCTGGCGAAGTGTTCCACACGTTGGTAGATGTCGCCGAGGTCCAGGCCACTGTCCTGCAGCAAGTTGCGCTCCGGGTACAGGAAGTGGGGCAGGTTCCTGGTAGCCAGGCAGCAGAGCAGCACTACCAGCAAGCGGTAGACCGCGCCCTGCAGGTCCTCCCAGTCCTCGGGTGCTGGGAAGAGCACCGAGGCCCATAGCAGCACCGTCTGTAGAACGCAAAGTCAGACCTGTCAGTGGGCGGCTGGACCGGTTCCCCACCACCTGCACCGGCTTACGTTCACCACCCCTCCTCAACATCTCCGGGTGCTGAGCCCCTCCTATATCTGCCACCCTAGCAGCTCCTGAGGCTCCCATCACCTTCTCTGCCCCTCCCTCTCCTCTGGGCCTCTCCTTCTACCCTCTGCTGAACCCCAGTCCAGACTTCAGAACTCCCTCAGGGTTATCTGAGGTTTCCTTCATCCCCGAGGCTTTCTTCATGCTCCTCCATTGAGCTCATTCTCTGTAGAGCAACCCAAAGGGCCCACCCCTGGGCATTAGAAATCCTCCTCTTTTCTGCTCCAAGGCCCTTACTAGATAACCAGCCCCCGTCACCCAACCACATGTCTGTGTCCTCAGAGCCTCTTCCTCCTCCACCACCTCTCAGTTCGTCTAGGATCCTCTGCGTATCAGACCCCAGTGACCACTGGAAACTGGATCCCCAACTCAAGCAGAGGTCTGAGAAAGCAGTGAATGACCGAAGTCCACACAGGGGAGTCTCCCCAGAGCCAGTGTCAATGACACATCAACTCACCTGACTCTTAACACCTGGACCAAGCAGAGGGTCCTCTCAGTCATGAACGCACACTCCAGGAGGATCCCAAGATTTCACAGCCCTACCTACTTTCTTCTCACTGTCCTGGGGGTTCGGGGTGATAAGAATCTTTCTTGTTCTTCTCTGCACTGGACTATTACAAAGCCATAGCAGGATGTAGATGTGAGGTGACTGAGCATCCTGCCCCAGGGAGCATGGGAAGGGAGCCAGTGCTCCCATGGGTACCCAGTTGACCCCAGTCTATAAGGATATCTGGCCAGGATTGTTCATAGATACAGGGAGGACTCATGTTGGGGGAGAGGTTCAGCCTTGTGTGGCCCAACCCAATCATGTTTCTGGATTGCAGGACCTCCCATGTCACCTGTCTTGAAATGGCCAAGGCCAGCCTGATGCGCTACAGCACCACTCTACAGCCTACGAGACCTCAGAGCCGTGATCTCTTCCTCCAGTGAACCTGGAATCCTTTCAATACCTGTGACTGCTAATCATGGGAGCTGGTGTGAGGGACACACGTAGGGGGTCACTGCCCTCTGTCATCTAGTCACAAATGCGAGTAACAGAGCGAGGCGCGTGGTGAGCTACCGTGCATACCTTCAGGTGGTCAAAAGTTAGGCCAGGGCTCTGGCTGCTACCTCGCCAGCTCTCTAGGTTCACCCGGTCGAGGATGGAGAGGCTGTCCAGGCGGTGGCCAGGGAAGGAGCCCAATGCACCAAGCAGGCGGCTGAGCAGGTAGCCAGTGGAGATCCTGAAAGCCAGACCCACCTGTCAGGTCTGGGGTTTGCAGAGCCCAGTACCCCGTGCACCCCCAGAGAGAAAAGGTCCAGGCTGCTGCTGCTTCCCAATACTAGAGCCTCTTGAGCCCCATGTGAGGGGCACATCCTTACTGTGGCCATTTTGTGGCTCCACGCCCTGTCTCTCAGCAGCTGATTCCATTTGCTAGCTTGAACATCTGGGGTTCAGACTCCCTATCAAAGATCGCAGGGACTAGGGGAGACCTCAGCCAGCTCACTCTTTATTTAGATTAGAGGTTGGTGGGGCCCCAGGCTGGCAGAGGGCGTGGACTCCACTCTTGGGCTTATGAGGAGAACCGAAGCCTGCCCCCCCCCCATGGGAGCCAGAGGGTGGATAATATGTGGAAGATATTATCTATGACCCTCAGCACAGGGCACGGCCTCATCTACGACCCTCAGCACAGGGCACGGCCTCATCTACGACCCTCAGCACAGGGCACGGCCTCATCTACGACCCTCAGCACAGGGCACGGCCTCATCTACGACCCTCAGCACAGGGCACGGCCTCATCTACGACCCTCAGCACAGGGCACGGCCTCATCTACGACCCTCAGCACAGGGCACGGCACTTCACAGGCTCTCACTTCTGTGCTTGCCAGACCATCAGAGGGTAGGACCTCCATGGCCTGTGAGTCTCAGTCCTAAAGGATGGGCAGAGATGGGGCAACAGAAAAGCCATCTTCTCTTCTTTGTGGAAGATGGTTCTGCTCGGCCCCACCTTTCACCTGCCTTGGTGGGCTGGTGGTGACTCAGCATGCTTGGCACGGGCCCTGTTCTGCATGAATGGGTCAGCAAGGGTGTGGGGGATGGGGCCCACAGAGCTCTGCAAAGGCTTCAGAATGCCACAGCAACTTGTAAATGTCACTTATAAGGAACAATTTGGTTCTAAACTGGCAGTACCTTGGGCATGTGTTTTGCTAAGTCCCCCAGCAGAATCACTGTGGCTTTACATGTGGATGCCAGTGTTGTCAGACTCGGATGGGCTCCAGGCCCTGAATCCGGCTGGCTCCGTTTCTGTTCCCTTCACCTTCTCACAGACACTGACTTGGTAGCAGGTGGCCCTCACTGAACTCACAGGCTTTGAGAGACTCAAAGATGCCAGTGCTGGAGATAAGGGCTGGCAGACGAGGGGAAACATCTATAACTAAACAGCTCAGGTAGAGGAACATTCTGGGAGGGGGCTCTGTAAATCTGGCGAGGCCACCCCAGGTGAAAGGTATTTGCAAGCCCCATTTACTTTCATTGGTGTGAACATCTTTGCTGTGTGGGCATTCTCGCTATGTGGGCATCCTTGCTGTGTGAGCATCCTTGCTGTGAGGGCATCCTTACTGTGTGGGCATCCTTACTGTGTGAGCATCCTCTCTATGTGGGCATCTTTGCTGTGTGGGCATCCTCACTGTGTGAAGACCTTAGACAACATCTCTGCTAGTGTTTACCTGACTGTTGGTGAAGGACCCCCTCCCACACTGGGTATCTCAACACAGCTTTATGCTACTGGTCACCTCCCATGCAGAAGATGACTATGCTCTGCCCAGAGCCCCCTGGGAGTCGTTGAACACTAGAATTCCCCCAGAGATTCTAGTAACCTTAGCATGACATGGATACCCACAGGTCAGAAGCAGGCAAGAACCCCTCAGATCCTCCTACATGGAGCTCAGGGAACATTAAGGTGTTTCCCCCTTCCCTCAGGACCCAAAGGTCCAGAGTGACATCTACCTCCAGTGCTGGGCATTAGCTGGCACCAGGTCCACCCCATGGCTGGCGATTCTTCTCAAGATGCCCTCAGGGAATCCAGGCTTCAACTGGGCCCTCTCCAAGGCGGGCACACTGTGCTTCTTCCTCACCACAGGCACAACGTTGAAGCGGATCTTCCTCCAGCCGCTGGACACCAGCAGGGACAGGTGCAGCTGCCCTTCCTTCAGGCTAGCAGCATTCAGTGAACCTGCAACAACCTGCCATCAGTCTAGCTCCCCTCTTCGGGATCTAACCCTGCTGTGGTCCGGGACTCCCTACCTGCCGTCATGACTGCCCTTCCCTGTATCTGCTGCTTCTCTACCTGCCCATCCATACTGAACTATTGCACAACCCCATTCACGGAGCACTGCCAGCTGAGCCACATCACAGCGGCCTTCATAACAACAGCTTCCCTCGGGATCCTTCCCTCTGCTGGGCTCCTCCCTCAGTCTTGTGGCCTGAGTCTGCTGCCCACACCTCCCAGACCTGTGGGATCTGCCCCCTGTCTGTTCCACCTCCACGCATGCTCAGCTCCATTCAGTGTCCAGGCTGGAGCCAGGAGAGAGACCAGGTCCCAAGGAGAAGCACTGGACATGGCTGGTGCTTCAAGCTGGAGTGTGAAGAGCTGGGCTGACCCCTGCCACCCTGGGCAGTTCAGAGCCTGCAGCTCTTTTGCTGGATGGCTGTGATAAAGACACCCCATTGGCTTCATTCTGAATCTTTTCAGTCTTTAATGAAAGTCAGTGGGGTGCTCTTGGGCACAGCACCCAATTCCAGGGACTTTGTACCCTCTGGACACTGATAATTCTAAAGGATAGCCTTTAACTACAGTGTCACCTACAGTGTCTGGAGACTCACACCCCTCCTTCAGCCAGGTATGGCCACTGAGAACAAACAGACATAGCCCAGCCCACCTGAGAAGAAAGAAAGCTGTGGGGATCAATCCCAGGCTGGACCTCTCCTGATGAGCTGGTGAGGAGCTTGTGCCCACCGCATGCATCCCCTATACTAAGAGCCTCCAAAACAGCTCAGGTCATAGTCACCCTATGCACACATGCATGCTGGTCCTCATACCATACAGGTAGGACTGGGCAACAAAGGCCAGGGAAAGCTTAGGATCCAGTTCATGGGAGACTACTGTCAGTGTTGGGAAAGGCCCTGATGTCCTAGGAGTAGGTACCGACCGGCTTTGATGACCCCATTTCCAGGCTGCCATGACCCAGAAATCCAGGCTAAGCCTGAACATTCTGTATGATGAGGTCTGTATCTACTTAACACTCCAGAAACTGGCTACCTCCATCACCTCATGAATGACACACTATGGCCAAGAGACTTCTCTCTCCCCTCCCTACTGAGACCCCAACCAGAACTCACGTCCCTAACATGAACCTCTAGGCCACCTAAGAAAGAACATTTCAGGAGAGACAGGGCTGGGTGATGGTGTGTTCGTGTGCCTTCTACCTCAGTGTTCTCTTCCTTTCAAAACAAGTCAGCACCAGAGATGGTGAGGGGGATAACTAAGACACCCACGCCATCACACAGGCTCAGGGTGTAGCCATCTTTCCTCCTATCCCAGCACTATCCTCCCATGTCCACTGAGAGGCCTGGGTCAGAGGCCAGAACAGCCAACCCTCCGGGAGCTGTGTGTGCTCAAAACAGAACCCCCAATACAAGCCTTGTAACAGGGCCCCCATTGTAAGGAACGACCCCAGCCTTCTTGCGTATCCCCTCAGCCCCCACCATCTGCAGAACAGCTCTTAGGCAACCTCTGGAATTCTCCATCCCAAATGAGCCTCAGTTTCCCCGTGAAGGGGGGAGGGGACCTCCCCAGCTCAGCGTTTAAATGTCTCCTTGTATTCCTCTAGTCACACATTTTTATTTGTGAAATGGCAGCCTGGAAGACAGCCAGCCACACCTGTTCTCACGAGGTTACCTCTAAGCCAGGCCTGGCTGGTCTCACCGGTTCCAAGGAGTGGACACCTGAACCCTGTCACCAGCAACAGCTTCCCTTTTAAGGAATGTGTTGGAAGCAATGCCTGGAACTTCCCATGGGCCCAGCTCAGCCACAACAGCAGGAATGGGCCTTGACTGTGGCGTCTCCTTTCTCAGCCAGCAGGCAACCTGGATATGCAAGGTGGGGGCCTAGAGGTCTGGATGGTCCTTAATGGCCCAGAACTTGGAAGTCTCCTAGTTACCCCCAACAGGTGGGTCCGTGCCTCAGTTAAATAGTGGGCTGCAGAAGCCAGGGCCAGCTGACAATGGCTGTGTTAGGTCAAGCAGGAAGGCAGAAATGGTCCTGCTGAATTAGAGAGTTCAAAAGATGACCAGGTAAGATGTCCAAGGAGCCGCAAAACACCAGACACTTAATGACAGTCTCTGGCCACCCGAAGGTCAGTCTTCTGCTCCAGGACACCTGGCCTAGCAGTCTGGGAGGGACTGCCCCCAGAAGCTGACCTCCTAGTGTTAGACGTCTAAGAGCCCAGGGCTTCCCGAAGTCTGCCTTCCAGACTGCAGCCTAGGTGCCCAGTCATGGATTCTGCTGGACATCCTTTCCCAGAGCCCTAGGAAGCATGAGAAGAAACAGCAGTCCACTATCCCAGGCTCCCAGGTCCCTAAACATACAGTCAGACCAGGACTCCACACACTAGGCATCCCAGGCATGTTACTACTGCCCTCTGGGAGAGACAACTACTCCACTCACTGATGACACAGTACAAACACCAGGAAGTTGACTTGGGAAGACAAACACGTGAGAAAGGAGCAACTCCCACCCTCACGTGTCCGTCTCCTCCCAAGAAAAACAGAACATTCTGTTTCGGCCTCCAGTGCCTTATCAACCTGGTGTCCTACACCTGAACCCAAGAGACCGAGCATCATCACTGAGGGTCCCCAAGGTCCTTGCTCATCACAGGCTGTACCTACCCTTCCAGCCACCTATGTGTAAAGAAACTGGCCGCTTCTGGTCATTACTGGGGGCCCCACCCACCTGGAGCTCTGACACCCCAGATTATATAAACAAGATGTCCAGCAAGAGACTGAGGCTGGGTCCCTGGCACATTTGAAAATACGCAGCCTCAGAGCCATCTGGGTCTCAACATACCAAGTTAGCGACTCAGTCATAAATTGGAACAGGCATGCACACACACATGCCTGTATATGTAGAAGCCTGCATTCACATGTATGTATTCACATGCATACTTGTGTCTGTTCACATCCCCACACATTCATATGTGTGCACACTAGCATGTGTTTGCATCCTGACTCAGACACGTTGCCGTGTTCACACACAATCTGACAGATGGTGACTGAATCTGAACTGGGAACAGACGTTAAGCATCACCACAACAGACTGTAACAGGTAACAGACTGATTTCCTAGAACCCTGCCAGAGACCCAGTGCAGCAAGCTGGCCAACGAAACAGCAGACTTGTCCTAAACTTTCAGACATGTGTAAAGTGACAGTCGTTAAAATGTCTTCCCCAAGTCACTGTGCAGAAACAGGCCACACGTGACTCACAATCTGCTTTCTCAGAGATGCTGGGGGCTCAAGGGCCAGAGTAAGTCTCCTGGCTCACAGGGAAACACCCGACACACAATGACAACTCACAGTGCATTCATATGCACAAGGAACACACACACACACACACACACACACACACACACACACACACACACACGGACCTGTATGCAGCCCCCATGGGCTAGTCCATGCCCGGAGACTCAGACACAGTGGTCACACACATGCACTCACACATTGCACATATGTGCAGAGAACCTCTGAACCCCACCCCCATGCCGTTACCTGGTGGAATGAGGCTGTGGTGTTTGCAGTGTACAATCGCAGCCACCAGAAGATCTTTAAGGACACACAGGACTTTACTGGGTACAATGTGGCCACAGCACTTGTCTCTGCCCTCTGAGACACTGAAGACGTCATCAGTCATCCATGGCTCCAGGCCAGATGCTTTCTTGAGGACACCCAGGCGACAGATCGCAGGCCCATCTCCTGGCTCAGTGGCTTCTGAATCCTCAATCAGGAGAGCCTCGGCGTCCACCCCCAGGGGCACCTCCACATCCAGAGGGTCCTCCGAGGAGCGCAGTGCAAACTGGAAGGCCTCCAGGTCTCGAGAATAGTCAACAACGAAGCGGGGGTCCAAGGCATGGACACGCTCCAGCACAGTGAGCAGGATGTTCTCTGCTCTCTGGTAGTCCTGGACACGGGGTGACTCCCGTGACTGGATGGCCAACAGGTAGTGATGCCACAGGGGCACCTGCTCAGTCATGTCTGGAGCAAAGACACAGGGGGCTGGCATCCCTGAGCAGCAGTAGGCAGCAGGGCCCTGGTGGCCCCTGGGGACTGCTCTTCAGCTGGTGTGAACCGGTTAGAAGGAAGAGGTACCTGTCCAGGTGAGGAGCAGATCTGCAGGTCGGGCTCAGCTCCCCATGAGCAGAATTCCAGAGTGACAGGCTCCGTGCAGCAGGTTAAATACCTGAACGGAGGCCAAGGCCTTTGAAGTGGGGTGAGTCAGTACCTAACAATTAAGAGTATCACAGGGGGGCTGTCCAGGGAGGTGGAGGCCCAATGGCTTACCACTCTCCCCCTCCCTTCTTCTTCCTGAATCTTAGGCCCCAAACACAGTGGCCTAACCAGGAGGAGGGCGTGTATCTAATGTTTCACACCCCACCCCAACCCCAAAGCTAGTCACAGTGCCTCTGCAAAGTGAGCCTTCCTTGCCCAGCCTCCTTTCCCATGGTTCAGATGGGAAGGCAATGGCTACCAGAACCTGTGTGACTCCCGTCCTCTCTGAGGCAGCCTGGAGAGGAACAAGCCTCAGGCCAGACCTGGGCAGTGCCTCCTAAGCATCCCCCAGTTACCAGTGTAAATCAGCTCGGCCCCTCAGGCTGCCTGTCCCATCCCTCCAGTCTCCCTCTGAGAAGAGCTAGCACGCACCTGGTCAGGAGCTGCGGCCTTCTAGGAGAAGCGGCCTCTGCTTCTGCCTCATGGCTGGAAAGTCTTACTCTACAAGCCACCTGCCAGTGCCCTGCCCACCGCCTCCTCCCTGCTCAGGGATGGGCAAGTCCAGACTGGCAGGAGGGAGCCGCCCCTAGCGACCCTTGGCCCTCAGAGATGCCCCAGTACAGAGGCGGCTTAGCTTCGAGTCTGCAAACAGTCTACAAGGCAACAGCCCCACGGGTGTCTCCGAGATGCTATCTCTGCAGCCACGCCGCGCATGGCCGCGGACCTCAGCCGCCTGCACTAAGTCAGAGCTACCTGATGATAGGGTAGGAAAACCACCCTTCTCGGACTGGCTGCTCAGAGCCTCTGAGAGGTTGCAACCTGTAAACAGGCCTCTGTCAGCCTCCATGACAATGACAGGCTTCCCAACAGCCTGGTCCAGCTCTGTCTACAGGGCTGCCCAGCATGCGGCTCATCCTCGCCAAGGCTGCTCGGGTTCCAGAGTGCTGCCTCTGGCCTTCACACTGTTCGTGCTAGGCCCCACCCAGCTCCTCCACAGCACTGTAGTCTGTGAGCAGTGGGTCCCGCATCCCTAGACAGCCCGGCTCTGACGCAGGGTCAGCAGCCAGGCCAGGTAGTTCCTTCCTTGCTCAGAACCTGGGCTTTTCTAGCTTCTGTACACAACCTCACAGAAGTCTCTTCAAGTCACCCAGGAGACCAAGCCACCCCCAAGCAAGGAGCTGCCTAAGCTTCTCCCCCTCTATGCTGCCTCTCCCCTCTGTGACCCCGAGTGCCCAGCAGGCCAGAACTCTGTCCTTCCTTCCTTGGCCCCTCTGGAGGGTGGTAAAAGCCATCATGAGCTCCCCAGGGCTGGGGCAGTATCCTCCTCCTCCTCCTCCTCCTTCTCCGTGTGCTCCTCATCTGGTCTTGATGTCAGCACACAGAATGGACAGCAAGCACTGTGAGAGGTGAATAAGGAAGAGCTTGACCTGGGCTCTGCTGGGATGTCTAAGGACCTCATAAGGGGACAGTAGAGAGAGGAAGATGGAGCTGGTGGCAGGGTTTGACTTTGAAGGGACCCACTGGAGGGACCCAAGCCTACCACCCTGCAGACCGCAGAGTGTCAATATGTACAATAGGGAAAATGGAGGGAGAGTAGAACCAGAGTGGTCAGCGTAGCTGTCAGAGCCCACGGGTTTCACAAGGCTTTGGTGACTCTGACCAACCACAAACGTATTGATTTAGCCTCTCAGTGCAGCACAGGGACAAGCATGCTGATCCTGTACCTCGGGGATTCCCAAGTGCTCTGGCAGAGGCTGGCAGGGCGGGGCATTCCAGCCTAAACGGACTGCATGAAATGGAGCTCAGGAAGTGTGAGGTGCAGGCTCCACACCGCCTCAACATTTCACACGTGGCCCGATGACTGTAGTCTCTGCAAGGATGTTGCTCAGAGCCACTGTGGGTTCCCTGGCTACCAGCTCTCCACAGCAGACCTGCCTTCCAGGACACAGAGACTGGAAGCCCTGGGTCAGGGTAAAAGTGGCTGAGCTCTCTCAGGAAGCTCCAAGAAGCATTGTGGGCTTCTTCTGGATCCAACTACCACTGCCTCAGTGGCATCACACTGCCTCTGCCCCCATCCTCTGGAGGTCCTACCCCGTGTTCCTCTGCCTTCGGTCTCTCTTGAGAGGAAAATTGAAGTGGCATCCAAGGCCACCAAATAAAGTTCCCAGTCCTCATGTTCTCCTTATGAGGACCACATACAGACTCTGGCACTCCAAGTGGCCAGTTGTCAGCCTGTCCAGTGGGCTGGCAAAGCCTGGGCTTTCTGAGTCTTGATCTCCATACAACCTCACAGAAGCCTCCTAAAGTCACTCAGGAGACCCAGCCACCCCTGAGCACGGTCTGCCTAAGCTCCTTGTCATCTGGCTGCCTCTCCCCTCCTGTGACCTGAAGTCACATACCACCACACCAGGATCTAGCTACCTGGGTCCTGCATTCACAGCCCTTTCCATCAGTCCTGCATGGCCATGTCAACTTCCCAGGCCACCATTTCAACTCTCTACCAGGCAGTTCTGTGCCAAACCCTAGGATTTGCAACAATGACCAAAAGGAAACACACAAGAAGGCAGACACCACCTGGTGCCCTAAGAAAGGTCAACTGAGGTCCACTGACATTCATGACAGACTCTGGGAGGCACCCCTCCTCTGTGTGGGTTGTGCTCTTTCTCTCTGGAACTCTGCGGTCTGACAGGGTTCCTATGCCCAGAGTGCCTGTTGCCTGTTAAAGCTCAGGTATGGACACAGAAAGTCAGGTTCCAGAGCACATGTATTCGGAGTCCCTCTCTGTGTGTGTCCACGGAGAGTCACTATGTTTTCTGGGCTCAAAGTCCTTAACCAAGAATGGAAGGTCACACAATATGTGCTCCTAGCTCCCTCCACACTCTAACAGTGTCCAGCAGATTCTTGACCACCCAGAGGCCCTTGATACAAGGCCTCTGCTGGGGAAGCAAGTGGCCCTGATGAGGTGGGTAGTTCAAGATCGCCGATGGAACAGCAGGGCTCGCCATGCTGAGCAAACCCTAGTCCCCTCCCACATTGCCTGCTACGGGGCATCGTAGTCTAAGCCCAGTGTGGATGGCTGATAATGCACACAGCACACAGCTATTTCTCTGAGAATAACACTGAACTTGCAGGGGAAGTCATAAGCATTACTTGTTATGGAACGGTGAGAGAGACCTGCATTCTACTTGCTCAGTGTGCCCCCACCCCATGAGCTACTCAGAAGTAGAGTGTGTGTGTGCCCACTGAGAAGGCTCAAAACAGGACAGACAACTGTCTACAACCTAGTGACCTAATGCTCACAGCAGCTGAGGTCATTGTTGGCTCACACACCAGCCCCACAGCCCACCTAAGGGTGCTTACGAGAACTCCAGGCTTATCATTGGTGGGATAAGCAAGCAACTGAGGCAAATGCACTTCAGGAAGTACAGACACTGGGGACAAGGAGTTGGGGATGGTCTGGAGGACGATAATAACTTGAAATAGACAACGGAGCCAACAGGATGAGCTCCAGCACGGGGACAGGCCTGGGAAACCCTAGCCACACCAGAGTATCTGTCGGGTGGCAATCCAGCCAGGAGCAGAGCTGAGCAGGATCTGCTGTGCTCATCACCAAGCTGGATCTCAAGAGAAGCCAGATGTCCACAGTCATGCTAGGACAGTGGTTCTCAGCCTTCCTCATGCCGTGGCCCTTTCATACAGTTCCTCATGCTGTGGTGACCCCCAACCATAAAAGTATGTTGTTGCTACTGCATAACTGTAATTTTGCTACTGTTATGAATCATAATGTAAGTATCTGATATGCAGGAGATCTGATATGTGACTTCTGCAAAAGGGGTCATGACTCACTCCTAGGCAGTAAGGAAGACCAGTCTCTGAGATGTCTTCAAGGCTGTGTTCGGTTAACTGACAGCCTGGAGTTGACCCCGCTGTGTGTTCGTTGGGACCGGTGCAGTGGAATCCAAGCTTAGAGCTGGCAGATGGGGACTGAGGGGCAGGCAGGAGGATAGCTCCCAGTAGCCTCAGCTCCACCAACAGACGTCAGACGGGCTCCAGGCAGGAGCTGACGCTACAGCTTCCGGTTGTCTCTTTTTCTTACACAGCGAGGACACCAGAGCACGCCCCACGAAGGGTTCAAGCCGTAGAAAAAGCCCTGCTGTCCTCACCCTTCCCGTCACGCCTCACTTGGTCTGGGAGAAGATAATGCAAGAGTGAGGTTGCATTAGGTGGGAAGGTTTTGCAAGAGAGAGCGTCTGGGCCCCGCCTACTCCTTCCAACTGCCCAGGTGGGGTCAAGGCCACCCGAGGAGACCATCTTCCCATCTGTCCTCCATCTTCCCATCTGTCCTCCACTGCGTTCTTCCTTATGCCTTCCTCCCACCCTTGCAGTTCAGGGACGGCGGGTACCGTCTCCCTCCTCAGGCTTCACCTTCTCCACCCGCCCCTTTGTTACTCAACCTCAGGCCTCAGGCCTCCATCAGAGAGATGATCTGGGCCTGAGGCACCTCTGACACCATATAGAGGAGACATATAATATGTGAAACTCCTCTGTGTCTGGTGATTTACTGGGGGGCATCTTCTACAGGGCTCTAGGGCACATGCTCTGCTGACCCAGGACTGGGATCAGCACCTATCATTCACCCTCAGAATGTCCTTACTATCACCCCACAGTCTCCCGATGGGGTTCCAAGCAGCCTCAGTGCTGAGCATGTGGGGGTATGGGGGCCGTGCCACCTGTTCAGGGGGGTATGGGACCAAGAGATAGGGGATGCCCTGGCAAAGGAGAGGGGCACCAGTGTGAAAGGGAGTGCTGGGGGAAATTCTGAGGCCGAGGAAGCACAAGCGTGGATCACCTCAACACATGGGGTACACAAGGCCATTCTGCCTGACCCAGGCCATCTAGTCAGCCCAGGACAGACTAGAAGCTGGCCAGTTCTGAGTTCAGAATCTGTGGGTGCACTCTCTGCTAGGTCTCCCTTTATCTCCATGCTCACAAGAAAGATTGTTGTTGTTGTTGGCTTTGAGTTTAGGGGTTGCATAGGAATTTTATTGAATAAATAAACAGAATTTATTATTTTAACCATATTAAAATATGCATTAAAATGACATTGAAATGTTCACACTGAGCATCCATAATTACTACCATCCACCTTCAGAATTTCATCTTTCTTTTCTTTTCTTTTTTTGAGACAGGGTCTCACTATGTATCCCTGACTGGCCTGGAATTCACTATGTAAACCAGGCTAGCTGGTTCAAGTTATCTATTATTGTTGACATCCATACTTGCCTGGCTGTATCCAGGAAGTCACAGCCAGATCCGGTGTGTTGGGCTAGAAATCCACCTGCTTCTGTCTCCTGAGTGCTAGGTGTGCACCACCATGCTGGGCTAGACTATCCTCTTCTCAAACAGAAAAATGTAGCACCATGAGACTCTATCCCCCGCCCCCCGACTCCTTTCCAGACTCAGCAGTGAATAGGGAGAACGGCTACTTCTGTCTGTAGACCTCACAGCTCCAGGAACTTCACATAGATGGAGTTGCACAGTCCTGTCTTGTTGTGACTGGCTCACTTCACTCAGCCTGGTGGTCTCCAGGTCCCTCCCTGCCACGGCATGTGTCAGGACGTCCCTCCTGCTAAGTACTGAGCAATCATCCACTGTATGGACAGCCAAATGTTGCTTATCTAGCCATCCACCCGCAGACACTCGGTTGCTATGAACATGGCAGCCAGATCTCTCCATCTCTGTTTTCTGTTCTTCTAGGTACACACCCAGATGTGCAACTGCTGGATCACGTGGCATGTGTTTGATTTTTGAGGAAGTACCATGCTGTTTTCAATCAGCTTTCACCATTTCACATTCCAGCAGCATCCAAGGCCTCCAGTTCATCTACCTGTTCATCAGCATACTTTTCTATTTTCTTAACAGTAGGCACCCTAATGGGTGTGATGTTCATCAGGACAGTTTTCCCCTACTAATTAGTAAGGTCAAACATTTTTGTAGGCTTATTGGCCCTTTATATGTGTCTAACAGAGAAATGTCTATTCCCATTCTTGACTTGTTTTTTTAATTGTGCTCTATTGCTGAGTGTTAAGAAACTTTTATATATTCTAGATTTCATTCCTCTACCAGGTGAATGATTTGCAAGCATTTTCTCACTTAATATTCTGGGTGATGTCCTCTCTCTCTCTCTCTCTCTCTCTCTCTCTCTCTCTCTCTCTCTCCCTCTCTTTGCTGTTGGTTTTCTCTCAAGACAGGGTTTCTTTGTGTAGCTTTGGTGCCTGTCCTGGAACTCCCTCTGTAGACCAGGTTGGCATCGAACTCACAGAGATCCGCCTGCCTCTGCCTCCCGAGTGCTGGGATTAAAGGCATGTGCCACCACCAACCAACTGTCTTTTCTCTTTCTTAATATTGTCCTTAGGTATGAAATGTTTTAATGTTTATTAAGTTCAAGTTATCTATTATTGTTGACATCCATGCTTGCCTGGCTGTATCCAGGAAGTCACAGCCAGATCCGGTGTGTTGGGTCTTCCTCATTTCTTTCGGCTCTTATGCTGTGGTCCTTGCCAAGCTGTGAATGACCAGCAGCTCCACACCCTCTCCTGTCACCGAAGGCAGAACTGTCCTCCCAGTTTTTTTCCTGGTTGTATCTTGGTACTCAGTGTTCTCCATTCCTTGAGACTGAGTGACAGAGGGCAGGCACCCTGAGCCATCCTGGCAGTCATTCTCCAGGACTCCACCAACCATCCTGTGAACAGGCCAGGTGAGCACCAAGCAGGTAGAGAGTGAGGTTCTCCTCTGCCCAGGGAACCCTCAGGTCCTCCTTATTTGAATCCCTCAGACATACCTGGCCTCTCAGATATCATTGACTGGTCCTAATAATTTGCCATCCCTGACCCAAACCTTCCTGGAGTAGGAAAGGGACATTAGAAGTCTTCATGAAGGGTCCTGCATGTACCTTCTGTGTGAAGGCCAGGTGCCCACAGCCTCACCCCAACCCTGCCCTGGCCTCCCTACCTCACTCAACAGTCAGGAATGAGGATGGTGCCATTCAGCCTCAGAAGTAGCTCTGGTGCCTGGCCCTGCTGGACTCTGATATCCTCGAGCACAGTTCATGTGGGGGACAACTTCTGTGCTGTGAAGAGGGTGGAGGGCACAGAGGAATGCCGTGTCCTGTCCTTGCCTCACAGCCCCAGGATAGCCCTGTCTGGCCAGAATTGCTCTGGACTCTGACTTGCTCTCTGTGGCCATCTCTGTCCCTTTGGTGACTCTGTGCCCCGGAGATAGGGTGGACTGCACGCGTGCTGAACTCACAGGTCCAGAGGCGGCAGCCATTGCTCATAGGGAGTGGCTCTCGAGGGCAACCGAGTCTGGGCTGACCTGGGTTGCAGCCCCTTTGCTGTCTGAAGTACATGCCCCGGAGGCTCTCGCAGGAAGTGGGCCCTGTGCCCTGTACTTATTTTGACTCACCACAGCCCTGCTCACTGTGCCAAGGCTCACTTCCCACTACCACCAGTGTGTCTGTGCCTATCCATGCCTGAGGCCAACCACGATGGTGCTCATGTTCAGTACCAAACAGCTGTGAACTGTCCTCTGAGGAACTGGAAATCCGGGGTTTGCTGTGTCCCGGGGCTGTTTCTGGTGAGGTGCCAGGTATGGAGGAAGGGATGGCGACAAAAGCCCCTCCGAAAAGAAATCTCCCTCTGAGGACAGGAGTATTGAACAGCCTGCCAGACAGGTGGCAACAGACCGGGGCAAAATCAGCCACATGCTGGGAGGATGGACAGTAGGGCCAGAGCATGTCCTTGACAACTATGGCGGAACTTGCTCCAAGACTTCAGGACGGGAGGCTCAGGGTCCTGGGCCCAACGGTCCAGTCTGTGAGGAGGAGGGTCAGGACTGGCCCAGGCCCTCCTGAGCCCCACTGTCCTCAGTGGCCAATCTAACAAGGCTCACTCTGGACCATGCTCCAGGCTTGCCATGAAGATTCTCCTTGTCACCAACAGCCCTGGACCAGAAGCTACGTTCATGTACCACATAGATCCCAGGCCAAACCCAGTATCCAGGGTAGATGCAAAGACAGGATCTTAGGGCCCTGTGCATGGCTGGGAGGGGAGAACTGATGAGCAGTGCCAAGGGCCTTTCAGACAAGCCAGAGGAGGGCAGACCAAGGTGGCCGTCAGATGATGGAGTGCATCCTTGGACCCAGAGACTGAATATGGGGGTCATACGGTATGCCTGAGTAGGGAACAGGGTGGCCCCACCTGAGAATCAGCCCTCTGATTCCTAGGACACTCTGAAGATGCCTCTTTGTCATGAGCATGCCATGCCAGAAAAGTAGATGAACACATTCATGCTTTCCATGTCAAATTTTGAATAACAGTAAGGACACAGGTTTAGCAGTTTCAATAGCATAAATTTTTCATATAATTCCACCTTCCTTGGTCGCCTGGCCCAAGGTGAGGGCAGATTCTTGGATTCCAATTTTAATTACTAATACTAACTTGGATACCACATAGCACGTGGTAAATATATCTCTATATCTGCATGCATATGTATAGGCTACAGAATGGATGTACAGAACGAGGTTGAGGCAGAGTTCAAAAGGTCTCAGAAGTAGGTTAAGACTCTGTACTGATAAGATTATGAACCAGACCAGTGCCAAGAGGATAACTGGGGAGAGATGCAATTCTGTGTGGCCTCGACAGAGCACACTGCAGAGTGGGTAAGCTGCCAGGCTCCAAGGGGGAAGGATGTAGAAGATGGAGCCACCTTGGCTCCTGGGAAAGGTCTGTCCCTCTCTAATCCTTAGACATCCGTGACACACATCTCACTACTGGTCGTAAAGTTCCTTGACACATTAACCAAGTCTGTTTGTGACCCTGAATGGAAAATGGGCTTGTGGTCTGCACCTCTGAGGTGTGGTCAGCAAGCAAACAGTCTCTCTAGACGGTAAATGGGGGCTCTAGGAAGAGGCTGGTCCCTCCCCTAGGTCAGCTTCACTCCAGGTCTCCAGGGAAACAGCTTCGGCCAACAGTGTTCCTTAGTCCTCACAACAAGCCCTACTCCTGTTTCCAGGGAAACCCAGCCCTCAGCGTCCTGGTTGCCTCAGCAACACTCACGGGCTTGTTTGGCATGTGGTCTCCACAATTAAGGTGGGGCAGCTGGGTGTCTAGGAGCAAGAGAATTCAACAGGGCAGAAACCAGCATAGCGGCCCCAGGTACTGCACACAGGGGCGGGGAGGCACACAGATGGAAGGTACTGGGCAGTTAAGACTCCAGGAGGAGGCATGCTGAGGAGCCCAGGCACTGCTGATCTGAGGTTCTGTGCTCTTGCCCAGGATGAGCTCCACTTCCAGCAATCCTGAAGATGGAGACACCACCGAGCAGTCACAGCTGGGGCTGGACACCGTGATCCAGGTCAGTGAAGTGGCTGCCCTCTGTGACCCCTGGAGAGCAGGTCTTGAGAGCACTTTTAGATAGGACGCAGCAGGGCGAGGTGCTGCACCGCCCAGGAGCATGCTCTTCGTGTGCACGTGCTCAGTGTGAATATGAGCAGGCAAGTGCAGACCTCTAGACTGGCAAAGCAGCTCAGAAGGCCAGCCTCTGTGGAGCCCTGGGCTTGCAGTCTGCAAGGTGTGGGGAACAGAGACTCCACTGCTCTGGTAGCCAGGTATGGGGACAGTTGGGTCTGAGCTGGAAGGAGGACCTCAATTTGGGGGTATCCCCAATGCCCACTCTGAAAGCCACAGAAGTTTCTTTTCTAGCTTCATGGCACTTGCTTGCAGAACAGTACTGATGGAATCATCCATCCCCACATCCCTGTCCTCCTCGCCACCTCCCGTTCCTCCAAGCTCACCTCCTCACCAGCCCTGATGCCCCTCATCCTCAGCCTCCACATTCTGCTTCCCCAGCACTGTGATCAGCCGGCCACCCCAGCCAGGCAGTCCCCATCCCCTGGGGGATCTCAGTGTACCCCAGATGGACCTGATGACCCGGAGTGTCCATTAACCCAGCTCTCACACCCTCGAAGCCATGCTGCAGGGGGTTGACGCGGTCCGAGGTAAACAATGCATCGAGTCCCCTGAGAGGAGTAACCGCAGAGGTTGGTGCCAAGTGTCTAAATGACACGGTAGCACCTCTGCACGCACAGGCCTACACATCTGCCCACAGAGGACGGACCGTGACACAAACAGAGTATTAAAGCCAATTGGGGTGGAGGAAATGGCTCAGTGGGTGAAGACAGTGGCCATCAAGTCTGATGACCTGAGTGTGATCTCTGGGACTCACATGGTGAAGAGATCCAAATCCCAAACTTTGTCCTCTGACCTCCACACATACACTATGGCACACACACACACACACACACACACACACACACACACACACACACACTCCAACCCCACACACAAATAACTAAATGTAACTTTAGAAAATAAGTTAGTTGATGCAACGAGACAAGGCTGTCCTGGGTAGGGACTCTCACCTGCAGAGGCCACTCTGCCAGCTCTGCCTGAGGGGGTATCAGGTTGAGTTCTGAGGGCAAGGCTGATGGTGGGTTCAGAAAGCCTGGTCCGCACAGCTCAGCTCACAAAATGCTCGCAGCCTAGCACATCCGTGCATCGCATCACCCTGCAAGGACCCGATTAGCTCCTTTGAGGCCTGAGGGAGGAAGTGAGTGGCTGTGTGTTTACCAGTGGACCTAAGGGAGAAACCCAGAACAATGCAAACCTCTCTGGATACGGGTGTTGGGGCCTTCTGCCCGAACCTAATCCCACTGTCCCTGGGAAGCTGCCACCTGAACATCATGCAGAGACTGGTGAGACTGTTCCATCGGCCCGGCCACACCTGCTATTTGCACAGCTGTGATTGAGATCTCTGTGCAATTACATCAGGTGAGCATGCAGCAGGAAGGCGCCATGGGATACCCAGATAGGCGTATCAGACTAGTGGCAGGACTCTAGGGACCTCCAGTTCCTCTGGCTACATACAGGGTACTGTGGCACCCAGAGAAGGGCAAAGCTTGAGTCGGGGACGCCTCCTACATGACCAGGAGCATAGCCTTTGACATTAACGTGCTCCCTGTGCCGGGAAGAGCACCTCGGCATCCCTCTTCCTCTGGCCAGAGTTCCCTTTCCCTTGCCTGATCTGCACACCCTCCCCCAACAGCCTCTGTACGGTGTCCCAGAGCATCCAGCCCCAAGGGCCTCTGGGGAGCTAGAACTGGAGACAAGGTCCAGGCTTGGGAGCCTTGGGCTTGGTCCCAAGTAGGGGGCGGGGACACACATTGGCTCACTGTGAGTTCAAAGACCCCTAAAGTTACATAAGAAATGAGGGGCTCACGGTGCACCAGGAGATGGAGCTTCCTGAGCCCTCTCAGACCCAGAACTGATAGTATACCTAAGACAGATGGGAAGTAGTGTGGGAAGATTTCCCACCCTCAACTTGGTGGCTTTAATAACATACAACTTTTCAAACTGTTTCTTTTGGGTTAAGTTCTAGTTTTCTGGGAACTTGTCCATTATAAAATTTCATATTTGTTGGCAAAAGCTGTTGCTATGGTTTGGGTGTGGTTTGAATGTGCCCCCAAAGGGTTCACGAGCTGGAAGTCTAGGGGGTGACGGTAATGAAGAGCGGAAAGTGTTTAGGTCATAGGGCACTGGCCCCAGAAGGGATTGGTGGCTTCTTTCTGGCCCCCACTTCCATCCAGGATGAGTTGTTATTAAAAAAAAAAAAAAGGCAGCAAATCCAGCCCCTGCGTTCTCTGGCTCCTTCCTTCCATACACCATATACTCTTTTCTTCCACACGTATATCCATCACAGTGGCATCTGCCATGTTGGGATACAGCCAGGCACCTCACCAGTGCCCAGCAGAGGCACTCCTCCAGCTCCATGAGCTAAATGACCCCCATGCCACACAAGGCCCAGCCTCACCACAGCAGCAGCACATGAACAAGGGTCTTTTGAATACCATAGGACCCCAAGCAGGGAGAGCAGCCACCGCTCCCTCCCAAAGGGTCTGAAAATAGTGTCCAGAACTTAAGACATTCTAAGTACAAGAAAGTGCTGGACTAATGGGCTCTTGTCCTAGTTAGGGTTGCTATTGCTGTGATAAAACACCCTGGTCAAAAGCAACCCAGGGAGGAAAGGGTTTATTTCTTTTTACAGCTTGCAGTCCAGCATCCAGGGAAGTCAAGGAAGGAAACTGGAGGCAGGAACTGATGCAGAGGTCATGGGAGAATGCTTCTTAATGGCTTGCTCAGCCTGCTTTCCTTTTCTTTTTCTTTTTTTTTTTTTAAGATTTATTTATTTATTATGTATACAGTGTTCTGCCTACATACGTGCTTGCAGGCCAGAAGAGGGCACCAGATCTCATTACAGATGGTTGTGAGGCACCATGTGGTTGCTGGGAATTGAACTCAGGACCTCTGGAAGAGCAGCCAGTGCTCTTAACCGCTGAGCCATCTCTCCAGCCCCAGCCTGCTTTCTTATACAATCCAGGACCACCTGTCCAGGGGTGGCACTGTCCTCTATGCATGAGCTCTCCCACATCAGTCATTAATCCACACAACACCCCCACAGGCTTACACCACAGGTCAGTCTTTTCTCACTATCCAGGCCCCAAACAGTTTCATCTTCTCAAGTGAAACCATTATACACCAACCCAGCCCATGGCAGCCACCAGCTTGCTCTCTGTCTCTGTGTATCTGACAGTTCTAGGAACCTCACAGGGATGGAAACATCTGTCAGCTTATTTCACTTAGCGCAGTGTCCTCAAGGTCCTCCCAAATCACAGCATGGACGGACTGTGCATTGCTCACCAAGTCATTCTTCCATGGACCACTGAGCCGCTTCACCGCTGTGAGCATCATCAGGATGCAGGCTCATCCACTCTGGTTTCACTTTTGTGCAGGTCTGTTCTAGAAGAACTGTGGGATCCAGGTCTAACTCTACAGGAGCCTGCCTTATTTTTCAGTGATGCCACTGTTTTACATTCCCTCTTTCTTCTGTGAATGCGTGCATTTAAAGCAAGACTGTAGCTGTAGGAACCATCTTCCCTCACTCAACTGCTGACGACAACCGCTTCTTCAACCCTCTGGTCCCCCCTGTTCTAACATCAGCTACCCAGGGGAAGTGCTGGGGCCCAGCCTCACAGGATGAAACACTTCAGACGCCATCGTAGGCTGCCCTCTGCCCTCTGCCTGGCCAGCTACATCTGAGGTTTCCTCAAGCTCAGTCATCTGCCAAAACAGCTCAACACTCCAGCACCACATCCCTGACTTAAAGGACTCAATCAGGGAAATCCACAGAGTGATGCCAGGTGGAGCTGAAGCACCCTGTTGGGGTACACGCTTGTCCCAGCCCTGCATCTACACCAAGCCCTATTGGGCTTCTCATGGGTGCTTCCTGTGTAAATACTACTGATGACAGCCCCGGTGACTGAAGTACTAGATCACTAGATGTCTTGGGGATAGGCAGAACAGTCCAGAGCTCTCATCCTGCTCTGTCATTATGGAGCTCCCCAGGGACCCAGCCACTCCCCTCACGCTCCCCTCTCAAAGGCATTCCTCACTCCAAAGATCAAGGGTGTGAGGTCTCAGGAGTGCAGGCCCACCAGGGACAGGAGCTGACAGTGGCCCAAGTGTGGCCTGGCCACAGTGCTAATCACATGCCAGGCAGGGAAGGACACACGGACTATCTCCAGGCCACATGTCCAGACACCAGTGCCACTGCACTGACCAGATGGGCCACATCCTCGACTCAGACTTTTCTTACCCATGGTCCAGAGACAGGCCCCACTCTCCTCAGCAGAACATCCCAGGCCTTGACAACGGCACTCAAGTTTCCTCCTCTGTCTAGACACCCTCCCCTCTCCTTACTCCTCACCCCTTGTTCTTTATCCTGGGCCTTTGCTTGCACTGCTTTGCAGGCCTGCTGCCTTCCCCAGGAGGCCTGTGTGGGTGTCAGGACATAGGGGCAGACAAGACAGACAGCATCCTCATCCTGCTGAGCATTCCCTGCTCTGAGTCATTTTATACTTAGTGATTCATACCTTCGGCCATTCCAACATCAATCACTTGTGTTGAGAACCTGTCTGAGCCTGTTTTATGTCAAGCATTTGTACTAGGGGTGGATGGATAAGTTGTGTCCTTCACTGTCATCCCCTGCTCCAACATCTAGTCCCCTCATGGCTTCGGAAACCTCTGCTCCAGGGGCAATGCCCATGCCCCAGCTTGGCAGGTATAGTTGCAGGGAGGGGGGGCGTGAGGGATGTCAATCAAAGCAGATATAAAGCCAGCCTGTCGTGCACAGGAGTAGACATTACCAGGTACCAAGTCCAGTGGTACCGACCAAACCCTCTGCATGAGGACAAAGTGCTCTGAGCCTCCAGTCGGGCCTGCCCTTGGCCAGGCCAGTTC